GTTAGAAGTCGCTAACATAGTATAGATCGTAAAAAAGATTCGATATATAATTAAATCTAGCTTAAAGCCGCCTATAATAGTCTATACTAATTATTTAATTATAATTTCTATTTCTAAGTAAATTACGCTTAATACTACTAATATCGATAAATTTAATCTTTATCTAATTCGTATATTCTAATATCTTTTAATATTTAATCTTAAGCTTCGTTATAAGACGAGTAAATTTAATATCGTATCTAATATATTATCGCGTCTACTATAGACTTTTATTACGTAATTTATAAAATTTAAGAAAATACTCGATATATTATATAAGAGTATAAAATACTAGTTAAAGTCTTTAAGTATTACGTCTATCGAACCAGTAATAATCTATTATACTACTCTTATAGAAATATTAGACGATTTTAAATAGCGATTAAAATAAAAATATATTAAGAATCTTTATTAAGAGAGATTATTATAGATACTAAAGCTTTTAGTAAAGAACGCTATTACTACTTTAGTAGCTACGAATATTATCTAAATAGAGTCTATAAAGCGTATTCCTAGAATTTCATTTATACTAAGAGAAAGTCTTATCTATTATATCAACGACGAGAATAGATAATATCTTAATATTTTATCTTCTATAAAGTAAGAGATATTTAAGTAAGCTTATAATTTATTTAATTATAAAGATTATTATAGATACTATAATCGATTATCTTATATAATTTTTATTAGATATCTATTTAAGCGCTTATAAATCTATATAGCATATTATTCTAAGTATTAACTTAATTAGATTAAGAGATATAAGCTATATAGATTTCTTATTTCGATTATTACTTTAACTATTTCTTTTTATATTATAATTATAGACTTTATTATTATCTTATCTCTTATTAAAGTAAAATATAACTATCTACTTATTATTATATATAAGATTATTAAGAGAAATCTTCTAATATCGAGAAAGAAGACTTAGATTACTACTTAATAGATCGAGATAGTAGTTTATATATTACTATAATATAATTAGAGTATATTAAGATATATTATTAGCGATCGCGATCTACGTTTTATATCTACTTTCTAAAAGAAGATCTTTAATAAATTATATATTAAGTTTCTAACGTTTATAGCTTATTATTTATAAACGAATAATTAATTTAAGTAAATTAATTAAACGATAGAGATAATATTATATTTTTATCTTATTATAAATTCTAACGATAAATAGAATAAAATCTTATTATATATTTAGATTATTCTTAATAACTTTTCGAGTAATATTATAGATCTAATATCTAATAAACTATACTACGATTTTAAGATTAATAATATTATAGATATATTACTTACGAATCTTTTAATATTTATAAAAGTCTTTTATAAGCTTTATTTAATTAAAAGAAAAGAGGCGAATAATATTATAGTATTTTTATTTATTATTATAAAAGTAAAATATAATATAAAGTATTTAGCGTTAAATCTTAAGAAAGAGAATAACGTCTTTCTTAGATTATACTATAAATACTCGATTCTAAGTTTTTTAAATAGAAAACTCTCGTAATAATATATCGATTTCTTTAAGATTCTAGTAAAGATTAATTATTTAATATATCGATTAAAGCTATTATTAATTATACGAATTTATTTAATAATATTAATCGCTTAACTAGAGTTAGTTATTACTATTATAATTAAAGCTTTAAATCTATATAAGAGAAGAATTAATGTAAAATTATCGTTCGTTTATAACGAAGGAGATAACTTCGAAGTTAAAATAATTATAAATAAACGAATTATATATAAAAAGTTTAAGTATTTACTATATTAAAAAAATTAGAATTATAAATATAATATATAATATATAATTAAGAATTTATCTAATATAATAAAGCTAGTAAATAACTATAAACGTAAGCTAGTACTTATCTTATCTACTAGATAAAAGATAGATAAGAGTATTAGAACTATATAAGTATTATAGTTATCTATATAAGTATTATAGTTATTTATATAAGTACTATAGCCGTCTATATAAGTACTATAATCTATATTTAAAAGAGAAAAAGAAAAGTTATATAAGATTTTACTAATTAGATAATAATCTATATTAAATCGTTTTTCGAATTAATAAAGAAAATTTCTAAAGTCTTAATATCTAATTTATATATTTACTATGCTAATAAGCGTCTATTTCTACTATTATCTTAATAAGAATATTAACTTATTTTTTTTGTGTAGCATCTAATATAATATTATAGAAGCCTTTTATAGAAGCCTCTAATAGAGTCGTTTCTACTAGATCTAAGAGGCTTAAGAAGCCTAGATCAAATATATATTAGCGTCTCCGAGTATTCTCTACTAAAGCAGATTTCTAGATAGCAAGAAATTATCTTCTTTTTACATTATGACTTAATTTATAACATATAAAGAGTATATAACGTGGGATCTTAAAGAGCTAAGCTATATTCTTAATACTAAGAGTCTTATTACCGCTTAATTTCTCTATAGTATTCTTTATAGTATTCTCCGTAATATTCTCCGTATTTATCTATTATAGTTTCTTCTTTTACTTTTTAATATAATAGAGATAATAGACTAAGTTATAGTAGTATTCTTCGCTTATTAAATAATAATTTAATATAGAATTATAGAGAGTATATAACGTAGAATCTTAGAGAGCTAAGTCGTATTTTTAATATTAAGAACTTTATTATCGCTTAATTTCTTTATAATATTCTTTATATTTATTTATTATAATTTCTTCTTTTACTTCTTTTTTTATAGAGTATTAAATTAAGTAATTAGTTAAATAGTTAATTAAGTAAATAACTAATATAACGTAAAATCTTAAAGAATTAAGTCGTATTCTTAATAATAATAGCTTTATTATCGCTTAATTTCTTCATAATATTCTTCGTATTTATCTATTATAGTTTTTTCTCTTACTTCTTTTTTTATAAAGTATTAAATTAAGTACCTAGCTAAGTAGTTAACTAAGTAAATAATTAATATAATATAGAATCTTAGAGAGCTAAGCTATATTCTTAATAATAATAATCTTATTATCGCTTAATTTCTTCGTAATATTCTCCGCATTTATCTATTATAATTTCTTCTCTTATTTCTTCTCTTATAGAGTATTAAATTAAGTAGCTAGCTAAGTAGTTAACTAAGTAAATAACTAAGTAACTAGTTAATAATTTAATTAAGTAGATTATTAAGCTAATAGAGTAGATAATATTAATTAAGCGATTAATTAAGTATCGCTAATTTAAAAATATATAAAGAAAGATAATAATTATAAATTCGTTTAAACTCTTTTAATTTTTTAATATATTTATAAATAGTAGTAGATAGCTATTAAACTCGCTTATAATCTTAATTATTAATAATAGCGAATTTACTAAGAGATAATCTAATTAAAGACGTTAGTAAAGACTCTAAAAGATAAATAAAAGAGATATATATATCTAAAGTATTTAATAATATTTTCGCGAGGAATATTAAGAATAATTATATTTATATTAATAGAATTAATAGAATTAATAGAGTAGTAAAAAAAAATAATTATATAAATAGATAGAAGAATTATTATTTAATTTCGAACGCGTTTAATATAACTATTATATTTAAATATTTATTTAATCTATTAAAAGTAAACTAAATTTTATAATTTTTATATCGTTAAAAAGCGTAAATTAAGCTTTATAATTTACGAAATTATAAAATAACTATATTTATTATAAACTAAGTATTTTAAAGTATAACATTTTTATATATAAATTTTTAATAAGAAAGTATAAAAGAATTATTAAATTAACTTAGTCGATCTAATTAAAGAGCGTAGTAACTTAAAATTAATAATTAATTATATATATAAATTTAAGATTTTATAACTTAACTCTATCTTATACTTTTATATATACTAATATATAGTTAATTATAAATTTAAATTCGCTACGCTCTTTAATTAAATCGATTAAATTAGCTCGCTAATTCTCTTAAGCTCTCTTATTAAAAAAATAGATATATATTATTAATATATAAAATAACTTTTTTATTTTCTATTAAAATTTTAAGATTTTTTTTTAAATTATAGAATATAATTTACGCTTTTAGATAAAAAAAGAATTCTTAAATTTAGTCTTATAATTATTAAAGCGTAAGAAATTCAGATATCGCTTATTAAAGTTCGCTTACTAAAAATCGCTTATCTATTTACTCGATAGCTTTAATTAGAAAAAAAATTATAAATTTAATTTATAAATCTTTATTCGTTAATATATAAAATAATATTTTTATTTTCTATTAAAATTTTAAGTTTTTTTTAAATTATAGAATAAAATATAGACTTTTAAATTTAGTCTTATAATTATTAAAGCGTAAGAAATTTAAATATCGTTTATTAAAGTTCGCTTATTAAAGATCGCTCGATAATTAAATAGCTCTAATTAAAAAATAAATATATATTATTTAATCTTAAAATACCTTTTTTATCTTCTATTAAACTTTTAAGATTTTTTTTTAATTATAAAATAAAATATAAGCTTTTAGAGAGAATTTTTTTTTAAATTTAGTCTTATAATTATTAAAGCGTAAGAAATTCAAATATCGCTTATTAAAGTTCGCTTATTAAAGTTCGCTTATCTATTTACTCGATAGCTCTAATTAAAAAAATATATATAAATTTAATTTATAGATCTTTATTTATTCGTTTTTATTAGAAGTAGATAGAGTAGTAATTTAAGATATATTAAACTATTAATAGTGAAGTTATTTAATAATTAATATAAGGAAGCTATTGAATGTGGGGGAAGAATCTCGGTTAAATTTGTTGCCTCGGCGTCGGCGTTTATCGGATATCGGATTTATCGATTTTAAGATGGCGCAAATAGGGAGTAACGCGACGCGTCTTTCAACGCGTCCTGCGTCCTGTTAGACCCGCACAGTGCTTTAAGAAATCTTTTCCCTTCCTAATTCCAGAACTGATCACAGCAATCATGATAAGACAAGACTATAATCGAATTGATCCCAAAAGGAGAAGTACGATTGATTACAAGAAGAAACAATTCGCAGTTCCCACGTATAAGCAGCAAGACTACCCACACCGCCTGAGCCTCTATGAAACCCCCCCGACGGCCGAGATCACGCTCGAGCAGTTTGAGCAATGGGCTATCGATAGATTGAGAGGTGTTCCCAACGCCATCGCAGGCATGTAGCCACCGTGGCTGACAGCAACTAGTGCTCGCCGAGATTGAAGCTTGCTCGTTCCGCAACAAAACACCTGCCGAGACTGCCGCCCATGTGACACCCTTACTTCAGAAATGGTTGCCCCTTCATTCGAATACCTCGTCCTCCGTTGGCTCACAAGATGAGAATCTCAAACTAGAACGACAGAAAGATCACTACTCCCACTTTATCTTACGTCTTGCATTCTCTTCTACGGAGGATCTACGGAGGCGCTTTGCACGAATCGAAAGTGCTTTGTTCAAGTTGCGCTTTCAAAATGACGACGCTAAAGAAAAACAAACATTCGTCGAGTCTTTGCAGTTCGACTGGGAAGTCGTTTCTGAAGAAGAGAAAAGGGCATTGGGGGCGGATTTACTGAATGCGACCCCGGGACTGAAGCGACAGGACGCGGAGGAAGCAGGTTGGTTCAAGGTAGATTTTGAGACGGTTGCAGAACTGGTGGAAGGCCGAAGAGTCTTTTTAAAAGCCGGCAAAGCATACGTACCGGTCAGGGAACAGATGAGCATGGTTCTTGCTGGATTCAATGCCAGGCTAGACAAAGGACTAGAGGTTGAAACTCCAATTCCTCATTACCATATCACCATTTACTGACACCATTTGCAGCTTGCCGCTCGCGCTCTCCCCCGTCTCGATGAAGACGACCGCCTCACACCAATCTTAGTTCATCTCTCCAAAAATTTTGCGACCCCTGACTCAACCCTCTCCGACTCGGACAGCGCACTTCCTGGTGCTCCAATCAACCCTTCGTCCATCGATCCTTTATCCCAGCATTTTCCTCTGTGTATGCGTAATCTCCAAATGACTTTACGCAAGAACAGCCATCTGAAGCATTTCGGGCGATTGCAATACACCTTATTCCTGAAAGGTATCGGATTAACACTGGAGGACTGTCTCATCTTCTGGCGTCAGGCTTTCAAGCTCATCACAGACGATACCTTCAACAAGGAATACCGGTACAATATTAGACATGCCTATGGTGACGTTGGTGGTGACGCGATTCGGCGAGGACGAGGATACTCGCCCTTTTCATGCCAAAAAATTTTGACCGAGCATCCACCCGGGAGTGGAGAAAGTCACGGATGTCCATATCGGCATTTCAGCGTTGATAATCTCACGACACTTCTTCAGACCACCGGAGTCAGTGATCGAGATGTCCTGAGAGGAGTCAAAGAAGATGTGGAGAAGAAAAGGTTTCATATAGCTTGCAATCGTGTATTTGAATGGGCGCATAAAGGCGACATCAAACGTGTGAAGGAGGACGACAGCTGGGGCGCTGCAGAGCTAGACACAATTGTACACCCGAACACATATTTTAAGCGGAGTTACTTGCTAAAAACTGGTGGTGCTGCAGCGGTAAAGGGGGACGAAATGGAAATATAGCGCCTTCTTCAATCGATATTAATGAAGGATATTTTAAAGGATATATATTCCCACATTGACAGGCATCCTTTAAAAGGCTGGTGAAGAAAAGTCATGTTAACGCTTACAACAACAGTGAAACCTAAGCGTGAGACAGGGTCAAGAGTAAGAGTACAATGGGAATTGATCACCTAAGCAGGAAAAGTGCTTTATCACATCAATACATATATCTAGGATGGTAGATCGCCTTATCGAGTGCCGTATGCATCCTACCGCTTGGTTCAAGACTTTTGCCGCTACTTGGTTGCAGTGGGCGCGACAAAGCCTTTGAGCCTTCGTGAATATTGAGAGGCGTTTGCACGATGTGACCAAGGTTAGACGGACTCGTAGTGTTTGCAGGGATCACATTGAGGAGTCACGTCTCTTTCCAACCCAATCTATGGACGACCAAACCAATCCAGAACTGTAGGAATGCTATCAATGAGTAAACCAGATCTGAAAATGTTGCTATTCGAGGTGTGTCTAATCGTCTAACAGATACGAGCTCATACTCGTCGAGGTTGTGCTTATCCGTTTGCCTTGACTGTCAAGCTATGGCATTTCATGGCAGTCCTCTGTCTTTGGCAATATTTTTTTGGGTTGGGAGACAATGGATGCAATTGAGGAAAATGATATCCCTGCCCGCGCTATTCAGTGTGAGGTTTTTGCCAATTCTAGAAGATCTTTCATGAAGGCGTTGAGGGCCAAGGTACGAGCGTAGCCACTGGAACTATAGGTATAGTGATCTAATACTATCCTAGGGACCCTTTCCAAGTCCGTTGAAGACATGGAGTAGTAAGTTGTCCATTGCCGGTGTATTACACTCGCATTGTGCAGTCAATGCTCCTTTGCTACGGCATTGCGATGTATTGGAAGTGTGGGCAGCCGACATGAATCGAACACATGGATCTTGGGGTAGAACCTAAACATCAGGACACGAGTAACCCCTGAAAGATCGAGACTCGAATCAAAGCACTCCATCACTCTTGATCATGAACCGCTGCTGTGTAGGTCGTGAACTATGAGTCGTCGATTGTACCTCTAGTCAAAGACTCAAAGTCGAGCACCTCGTTCGTTCACTCGTAATCCTAAGCCGAAAGCATACTTCGCCATCGCTGCGTAAAACGGCCTACCTTGACAAGGGCCCGTTCCGTGGCGTCAAATCGTTATAGCGAGATTGAGCATGGGAGCTTGACTCAGGAGTAAGGTTGGAATCTTTTGCTCATCGCAATGAGAAGTTGGGGCTTGAATCCGAATATTCCGTTCATTTAGTAAAAGGTCTGACATTATGCTTCAGTCAGATTTGGCTGGATCTCTTTTGTGCACTGAAAACCAAAAGCTTTGTGAGAGCCCCAGCGCCTGGCATCTTCTATGAGCCAACATTGAGAACACGCTGTGTTATTTCAAGCCATTTCTCTTCTGACCGCGGGTTGCCATACTGCCAGCGGTCTCTCATGACAACCATCGTGTGGATGCAGAGCAACAGCTCCCACTGAAGATCTTACTTGCCTTTCCAAACAGCTGAGATTCCACTCGCAAGCCCAGCGGCTAATAGAACAAAGTTGAAGGCAGAGATCATAACGAAAGGTGCTACAGGCGAGATCTTGTCGAACATGAGCCCGCCAAGTTTTGTCAATAGGAGGATGCCCAGACCCCCCGCCAATGAGTAGACGCCGGCTATCGAGCCCTTCAGATGGTTCTGTGAACGGCCTCTGCTGCGTAATAGAGGTGTACCTTCGGCGGCTTCTTCGGTATTGTCCTCATTTGGAGGGACGATTGAATCAGCAGTTTCGTTGCTATTGAAATTATGACCTTCCACTCGCGCCACTGCGTCACAAGATGCCGATCCTGATCGATCACTTTCGGCCTGTAGACCTAGAATACCCCGTCCTAAGAGGCCCAAGCTGCATACTATTGCACCGATTTGACTTATCCCCAACAGAGCCATGATAACGAAGATCCAAGGAGTACTGTGCGTCGCCTTTGCCTCTGGGCTCCCCAGAAATGCCAATCCAATGTATCCAACGAGACCTGTTATTGCTGCCGTGAGAAGCGGAATATTAAAACGGCGGTATCTATCCGCCAGGAATCCAAAGACAGGCGCGAACAGAAGGGCTACAAGCTGCGAAACGCCGGTGAGCTCGGCGGCAAGGACGTAAGCTTCTCGACAATGCGTTTTAACATCCTGCGGGTTATGCCCTGTCTCATCACATAGTCCCGAGGAAATGTAGTACGCGTTCACGAACAGAGGAATGAAGAGCGAGATTGCAACCGACTAAAGATCTCTGAGTCAGCGTTTTACTTTGAAGGCAACGAAACCGTATTTCAAGACAAGCTTAAGGAGTAAAATCGGTCTTCTGGCTCCGAAAACCTGCCTTGCGACGAGGTTTTGCGGTATGGAGGAAGGAATCGCTTCGAAGGTACGTACGGATGCTCTCGCTACGAAGCCACCAAGATATCCGAGGCCTAGTAAAGGACTCTTGAAGCCTAGGGCGACTGCCTCAGCTAAAGAATCCAGGCTCGATGTTTTGGATGGTGGATCATCTGGTCCACCGTACACGAGATTTCGCCATCCTTTCTCGTCCTCGCCGTGCAGATTCCGTAGGCCAATAAAACACAACAACGCCAGGATCAGAGATGATGCTCCAACAGTGTAGTAACTGTCAGCCAATGCCTGCCCAGGAGCAATGCCCTTACGCTGAACGAGTTCCGGCAAACGGAGAAAGAACCCCAACGCGAGAAGAGCACCACAACCGGTGAAGATGCCAACAATTCCGGCAAGACGTGTTGGCGATAGTTCATTGGGCGGACTTCTGTGACTTGAGTGATGATGTAGCCTCTGGGGTGTTATTGTGAGCTCGGATGAGATTGAGGGTGAAAAGACGTGACCATTGCTGGCGTCAGGGGTTGGATTTGGCACATTTGCTTCACTGTTATTCTTGCGGGGTGCGATCATCGATGGGAGAATTGCTGTCACCATTGTCGATGCCGCTGCGCCTCCGATGCTGAAAAAAAGCCTAGCGAGCAACAACTGAGGAAATACATTTTTGGCTTGTACGAAAAGTAACAGCGCAAGGCCGATGATAGTATAGCCCAGAACGCAGACCTGTGAGGTATTAGTAGCATTCCAAGACAAGTCTAGTCTTGCTAATGTGAAGATACAGTATCTGCATGGGTTCCTGGATTACAGTATTCATAAAACTCGTGCTGTGATTGGAGAAGATGTTGGAGCCATCTGAGTCCCAAGACCAGGTTGGACATATTCCCATGCTGGCTGACTACAACTGGAACCCTTTGCAAGTCTGCATAATGTTCAAGAAATCCAATGCTACAGCTTTTCGACCACAATCCCAGACAGAGACCAAGCGCGTCCTCGCAATTCTCTAGAATGTCGTGCATCGTTGACTTTTAGATGTTCAACGAGAAGAATAACTTACTATTCGAACCCCGATTCGATCGGATATTACTCCCCAAGCAGGGCATGCTACAAGTGCGACCAGCTCGTCCGCGAAACCCAAAGTGCCAACGGCATCGCCAACTTTAGTCCGTTGTCCGATCAAATTCGTGATGACAAACGAGACGGATGAGTTCAGGAATACTAGAAACGAGATCTGTGACAATACCAGGATTAGCGACCTTTTTGCGTTGGGAGGAAGACCCGTATGACAAGTATTGGGAGGAAGTAGATCCCAAATTGTCTTGCGGTTCTCATGTTAGGATTTTGAATTAACATACCGAGAACATGCATACCCCTAAAAGGTAAGTGGCGGCTTGCAGCTTCGTTGCTGTGAACATGTTCGCTGAGCACTTTAATGCATATACTCACCACCCGAGTAATAAGTGCTTTTGTACGGATGTAGGGTAGTTAAAGTAGGCGCGGCGGTCTAGGTTAAACTTCGGGGAAAAGGTAATCTTTAAGTACAGTTTGGCTCGTCTTTTCAGGGTTGTTGATGACACCTCAACGTTAACCTAGGTCCACCAAGGTCGAAATGAAAGACATGCATCGTGGATATCTTTACCTAGCATCATGAGACTTGCAGCTTACGCCGGGGTACGAAAAGCCCGGTGTCCTTCCCTTCGTGCTGATGCATTGCTGATCTTCTGTAGACCTCCATGGTCCTGGCGACAGGTGTTATAATCCGAGCAATACATGAGCGGGCGAACTTCTACTCAGCGTGTGTCTATCTGGCTTCGAGCAATGCATGTCTCATGGTAGGATACAGATGGCATTGTATTTCATCAAAGCTCTTGCGCTCACGCGATCCTCTAGGTACTCACGAATATTGCACTTCTAGGTGTGTGCTCAGGAATGCTTGCCTTGCAGAGGCTCTTTTACGGTCCGTTACGACCAATCGAAGTAGAACAGCTTTACGAAAAGGCATGGTTTGCCATCACGGAGACATGTCTTGCAATGACCATCTTTCGGGAGGAGGTGGGTGGCTGGTTTTTGGTCATGTTTGTTTGCCTGTTGATAGGGAAGGTGTGGGGTTGGATTGGAGAGGGACGGGTTGAGATTCTGGAGCAGCAGCCACCATCGAATCCGCGCTTGTTCCATGCTCGACTCTCCGTCTCACTTATCATCTCGACTCTATTCGACATTTTCATGCTTCGATATTCCATCAACACTGTCTTACTCCACGCGCGGCCAAATATGATGGTCATGTTCGCTTTCGAATTTGCTGTCCTGACTATTACCTCCATTTCCACTGCAGCTCGCTATATGATATCCCTCCGGGAGGCAGCGGTAATCAAGAATCAAATTAAAGACCGCCGCGCCCAGATGAGGCGTGACAGAGCGTCTGCCCAACCTCGAGAACCTACGGCAGATGGGTCCACTTCTCCAGAAGCTCACGTCAGTTCTATTGCCACTGATGACGATATCGATTCGTTGGATATCGACGTTCCTGGCTGGGAGGAAAAGGGCCGATGGGTTTTCTACCTGGACCTTGCTACAGGTATGAAGAGTCAAAACTGGCTTATTTGAAAGTCTCCGGCTAATAACGGATCTTCAGACTTCTTCAAGCTCGTCTTGTATCTTACGTTTTTCTGTGTACTTTGCATGTTCTATGGCATGCCTATCCACATCATCCGAGACGTAGCTCTCACGATCCGATCCTTCTACAAGCGAATCACGGATTTCGTCCGCTACCGACAAGCAACCCGAGATATGAATGCAAGATACCCAGATGCTATCGCAGAAGAGATTGCGCGAGAAGATGTCTGTATCATTTGTCGAGAAGAAATGATGCCTTGGCAAGCACAGGCCACTGCCGGCGCGGAGCCCAACAGCAATGGAACAGCCGCTATTGACGAGCGCTTGAGACCTAAAAAGCTACCTTGCGGTCATATTCTTCACTTCGCGTGCTTGCGCAGCTGGCTCGAGCGCCAACAAAATTGTCCGACCTGCAGAAGGCCGGTACTCATGACAGGGACAGTAGCCCGATCGCAAGACCAGGCCCTCGCAAACCAGCATGGCAGAGCGCTACCTCACGTCAACCAACCACAGGCTCAGGTTCCCGCGCATGGTGATTTTCAGCAACCCGTAGCTGCACAGAATGTGTTTCATTTCGGTCCACTCCGTATAGCGTTTGGCGCCAGGCAAGGCGCCCAGGGTGCCGCGCAGCAAGTCAACAACAATGCGCCTCCTCCTACTCAGCCAGGACAACTGCCGGCGACAGGAAATTTGCCACGCGCAGGTGGTATGTTTGGATTCCAGCGCCAGGTTCCAGGATCTCAAACGCGGACTGTAGCCACCTTTAGCCCTACAGGTCTACAACTTCAACTCCATCAGATGGAGCATCAACTGGTCCGAGAAATTAATTCACTTCGAGTCCAGCAAAATCAATTGTACCTTGTGCGAGCCCTGCAAGGCGAACTTACTCGACTGCGTATAGCACAGGCAACCCCAGATGCGAGCTTTACTGGCCAATCTTCTTTGACTCATCAGCCTCGAGTTGTCGACACACTGCCGCAAGCCGTGGGGTATGCAAATGTTTTTGGTGCAAGTCCACAGCAACAGAGCGTGGGTTCTAGCCATTCGAGTCTGCCTGCTGGCATGACGCTACCACCGGGTTGGAGTATTCTGCCGCTCCAGAGACTTACTGATGGGAGGAACGCTATTCTTGGTGAGATTTCTAACGCTGATAGCTCTAGCGTTCAGTCACAACCGTCCGGTAGCAACGCGTCAACAGGGTATGTATCTCAGGATCGCTCGCAAACGAGTGTAGCTGCTCGTATGGGAGAAAGGTCCTCAGGGTTGCCAGGAGAGACACAAAGTCACAGTAGTAATGGCGAGCCCGTATCTGGAAATAGAGGTGACATCTCACCAGGAACTCCGCGTTGGGGCTCTGGCTCTGGCTATCAAGTCCCGAACGACGCTCCCAAGGGCAACAAATTTGAAATTTCTGAGCATGAAACGAATTCTAATGACGAGGCGAAGGGTAACGACTCGGGACCAATGTCGCAAACAATAGCCGACAGTAGGCAGATCAAAGGAAAGGGGAAAGCGACGACGGTAGAAGACACAACTGAAGAGCTGGACTGAGCTTGTAGAAGCGGAAGCATCCGAGGGGTTGTGCCCGCTCTCCTGTTATTATGTAGGCACAAGCGAAGGCGTTTGGCGCTTGGCTGAATTTCATAGGGCAGACAAAATAGAATGATGTAACTCTAAACTTATACCCAAATCATACGTAGGTAGATTATTGATGCTTCTCATTGCCAAGGTAGAGGACAATTTTCGTTGAGGAGCAAGCAGAGAGGTGGCTGTGTTCACTTGCCTTGCTCTCATTCAGACTGGCCGTGACCATCCGAGATCGAGACCCCAAGAATAGGGAAAGGAATGCTAAAGAGACAGGGAGAGATTGTTAGGAGAAGCGTTGTCGAGAACGACGCACGATTACGTGGTATGTACAGCGCAAAGCAAATCCTCCAGCCCGTAGTTCAAGAGGTAAGAAAGCCCGGCAGTATGCTCTAGCGATAATGAGTGACGAAGAAATCTTTGTGGAAAAGGGAGTTACGACTGCTCCTCCATCCGTATAAGCCTGCAGATTTCGCTGCAATCACAATGTCCTCGAATAGTAATCAAGAAGGCAAATGGACGGAATTCGATAAAGCCTGCGGGGAGGGAGGTGGGTTAAAAAGAGTAAAGACTCTCAACTGCCACCACCAATAAAACTCGTATATCGGCAATCCAGAAGGCAGATAAAGCCTTGCGATATGGATCCTTAACGCCCCCATCTCTCCTATAACAGCCCGCCCACGGTTAGAGCCCGCAACGGGGCTAGCAAATCGACTTTTGCAAAAGAATGAGTTAACTTTACAAACCTAATCATGACCGCTACATGCATTACGCCCAACGCAGCTACCAAAACATCCCCCTTTTGGACTGTCAGTTTTCGGCTCGCATCCCCTGGTGACCGAGGATCGCCGCAGATGAATGCTGTCTAGTAAAGTCAATCTCGGGTCCATAATGGTAGTGAAAGAACCCTCCCTCCATGCACACCACGCCAATTATGTCCCAATCACATCAACCCTCCCCGAACAACTGTTCACTTTCTTCCCTCTTTGCCCTCCCATCCTTCTCCTATAAGTTACCCTTGACATTGTTCTCGTTAAAGAATGCCATCCGCTCACATGCCCATACGACAGCATCCGTCTCAGCAAGCGATGCGCCAGGTTGATGGGCGACAGCAAATTTCACTCGAAAGCAGTATCAACCATGGCCATCACGGTCAAAGAAATGGCGCCTACCAGAAGATCTTCCCTCCAATCGGGGCACAAGACTTCCAGGAGTTCCCCACAAGACGCTCAAACACCGGCAACCCAAACACAATTGCAAGAGCAAGATTTGATGCCTCGTCTCCTATGCCCACTAACTTTCCTCCCTCTATATATTCGCAGGAGCCATTGAGGTTTGACTCCCGAGTACTTCATGCTTGCGAAATTCATGAGCTGACTTTCATCCACAGCGATCAGAAAGGCGCTCATCTGCCAGACCGTCACCGTCCGACAGGGCATAATACATCTCGCAGCGCATCACCAGTCTCAAGAATGTCTTCCGATGAAACCTATGAGACACAGGCAACTTCATTAGAGTTACCAGCGCTACAGGCACACTCAGCACTCGACAGGTCAGACCCAATGGAGCCATTGACTGGAGACCCCGCAGGCTCGTTCGACCTTGTTGCGCCAGCAGAAGAAGGTCGTCAGGCCTTTTCCTTAGAAGCACGTTCGGAGCAACTTTTCTCGCGTGCTCACCTGGAGATAATATTCGCCAACCCATCCTCTCTCTTAAGGTTCACTGCCTTCCTGAGCACACATCGACCCCAATCGGTGCCAATCTTAATATACTATCTCGATGCACTCAAAGCGCTGAAAGCCATCAGATATGCCAACGCTATAGCCGAAGCTCTGAGCCCAATACCAAATTATGACTTCACGTCCGAACTCGCCAATCCAACTACCAACCGCGAACTTGAAAACAAAGCCGCCTCTGCGTTTACGGTATTGACCCACGAGGACCTCCCAGCCTTTATCACACATGTCTATGTGCAAGTAGTTAGCCAGAGCATTTCCCGAAGAATCACAGGGACGCTGGCTCCACATCTGCGTGAAGCGTCCGAAGGTTTGGCGGAAGTATTTTGCCTGACAGATCCTTCTAGACCGGACAATCCGATTGTTTTTGCTTCTGAGGGTATGCCTGCCCGCATGCTCTCAATTTTCAACAGCGTTAACTCTATACATCAGAATTTCATCGCACCACCCAATATGGTATGAACTATGCTATTGGGCGAAACTGTCGTTTTCTTCAAGGTCCGAAGACAGAACCTGGCAGTGGACGAAGGCTTGGAGACGCGACCAGAGCTGGCAGGGAGCACTGCGAGGTTTTTCTCAATTAGTGACTAGTCCGCATTCCTCAAAGGTGTCTCGCTGCTAACGTGACAATAGTCGACGTGATGGTTCACCTTTCATGAATATGCTCATGATCGCGCCCCTTTGCGATAGCCGAGGAAAAATCCGATATTTTATAGGGGCTCAGGTCGATGTCAGTGGACTGGTCAAAGATTGCACAGACTTGGAATCTCTTCAGCAGCTTGTTGTTCGAGAGCAGGCTGAGCACAAAGATACTAATGGAGAAAATTTCGACGGCCAGCAGGAGGCCAAGGACGACTTCCAGGACTTGAGCGAGATGCTGAACATGGCCGAGCTTGAAACCGTGAGGAAGTTCGGCGGAAGGATGCACCGAGAGTATCAAGAAGAGGAGGTAGACAAGCCACGTAATGGCGCGCCCCATATGCCACGGTTGCTCTTGCAGGAGCCATCTGCAGATGACAGTCAGATATTCGATCTCAGTAGCCGCCAGAGTGGCAAGCTAAGCGGCATCTACCAGAATGTATGCGTTCGCAAACTGCTTCTAAAGGCAATGAAGTCGACTAACAGGATTTAGTATCTACTTGTCAGGCCTCATCCATCTTTCCGTATTTTGTTTGCTTCGCCGACGTTGCGGGTGCCAGGAATCCTCCAGTCTCCTTTCCTGGACAAGATTGGTGGCTCTACACGAGTCCGCGAGGAGCTGTCTGCTGCTCTAGCAGAAGGTCGAGGTGTAACAGCAAAGGTGCGCTGGGTTACCAAAGCAGACGAAGATGGAAGAAATCGATGGATTCACTGCACTCCTTTGTTAGGCAGCAATAGCCTAATTGGCGTCTGGATGGTGGTACTTGTCGACGACGATCAAGAGCTAAGTAGGAGATGGAAGCAGGCTCCCCCAGTTGCACCTCATCGTGGTAGAATTTACGACGGTCATGAACGCATGGGAAGCAGCGGAGAGTCTATTGCAGGCCGTGCGAGTGGTGTGAGCTCGTTGCAAAATGATCATCCCAGAGCTCATCAGAGTACAAACAACGGCGCCCATAGCAGCTCTGTCAGGTCTACTTCGCCAAATTCGGTTCTAATATAGAAGCGCCAGGCCATCGCGCGACAAGTACTCCGTTCTCCTGCCTCCAATAGATGCTGTGAATACAGTATCTCGATGTCTTTGGTGCCGGGCCACTCTTGCCTGGAACGTGTATCTGTATCCACAGCACTGAAAGCCTATCATCGCGGATCTCAGCCTTCTTCGGCTACAGTACTGACTCTCTGCTTTCCAATACTTAGCGCTTAGCACGGCGATAGGAGTCTAAATCGTTTCATCAACAGGTAGTCTATTCAAGGCCTATCGTAAGATGACCGAGGAAGAACTCAAAGCGCATGAGAATGGCCTTCAAGAAGCAAAGCGAGCAAGCTTAGCCAGGAATAGAGGCTATTCAATTCTTTGAGGGCTTATGATCACATGGCAAGTGTCTTGGCAATCATGATTGGAGTTGTCGCAAAAGATAAATTTGCTCAGTACGATCTGAAGCTGAATCAATGCAGATATCTACATGCTCTCAGGGTTGCTCAACGATAGCCATTATCAGATGAACAGAGTGGCGGATATCGTGCAAATTGTGATTGTAAGGCCACGAATACTTTCAAGCAGTAAACAAGACTGTTGCTGTCGTCCATCTGAATTTCCTCATAATGTGCATGCTTTGAGAATGCAGTGTTGCTGCCAGGCCCCTTCGGCGATCCTCATGTCCACGGTATCTGCCAACCAATATAGACTCGCAAATCTGATTCACGATGGCTCCTTCTCCAACTTCCACTGAAACTTTGTGATGCAAACACGGACTCGACCGGTACTTCTTCCCTACTTATTGGTTTGCCCCACGCCCGTGTTGTAAGAAACACTGGCATCAAAGTGGCCTCCTGTTGTGTTTCAGTTAGCTAATGTCCATGCAGCCAGTAGTGAATCGCTCTTAATTCGTCCTCCACGACTCTTGGTAATGTCTGCTTTGAGGAAACTGATCCAGTTGATCTCTACTGCTGCAATCATCGTCCTCTTTTCCTCTCTGAACAAACTCAACACAGAAGTATCTACTCTCGGCAAACACCGGGTGGGAAAGCACGAGGAATTATTCCTTGATGCGTCGGCTTGGTCACTTCCTGGCCGTAATGGATCCATCTCTGAAACACGAGACTCACTGGATTCAGCTGCCACTTCACCATCGTCCGACTTCCATCCTGGAGTCCCTAAACCTTTAGGCTCAACATACAGTCGTGCCATGGTCATCCCCCGGCTTCAGAGTGATAACATTTCATGGGTCTCAGACGAGTTGCCAAATGTTGACGCAGCAGTCTACACCGCGAACGACCCATTGGCGGTGATGCATCCACCCAAAAACAAAGGACATGAAGTTATGATATACTTATCGTACATCATCAACCACTACGACGCCCTACCTGACATTCTCATATTCATGCATGCGCATCGTTGGACGCACCACAACAATGCCCTTTTAGCCTACGACGCAGCTGAGATGGTCCGAAGGCTAAACAGTGATTATGTCACCAGGGAGGGATATGTGAACATGCGATGTCAGTGGTCGCCAGGCTGCCCGGAGTGGCTTCATCCTGGCAACCCACGAGAAAGTCTCGAGAAGCAAGAAGAAGTTGTACTATCAAAAAGCTGGAGTGAGCTTTTCCCTTCGGACCCTCTTCCCGCTGCCCTAGGTCAAACGTGCTGCGCGCAATTTGCCTTATCAAAGGAGCGTGTCCTCGCGATACCTCTCAGCCGCTATGTTTACTACCGGGACTGGATCACTAGGACCCCATTGAGTGACTATGTATCGGGAAGAATCTGGGAATACTCATGGCAATTCCTATTCACAGGTCAAAGCATCTACTGCCCCGCCGAGCATATCTGTTACTGTGGCGGTTTTGGCTTGTGCTTTGGCGGAGATTCGGAATTTGAGGAATTCAAAGAATTGCGAAAGAAGAAGCGAAAGTTCGAATTGGAGACGAACGAGCTACGCGAGCGGCGAGCCTTGAATGGGGGAACTGATATGGAGATTCAAAGCAACAATACCTCAGCGGTAAGATACCTCTATCTGAACAATCAGATTGATATCCTAGAGCAAGAATTGGCTTTAAGAAAAAAGGTTGCGCTGGAGCGGGGTTTGAATCCCACGAACAGAGCAGAAGAGTGCGGTACAAGATAGAGGGAGACTACGGGTCTCGAGTCTGCATGAGACGATCGAAGGCTAGATGCTGCCAGCCACCCCAGTGTGCGCTTTTGCTTGTTCAATTCAGGGATTCAGTGGCCAGACGGTCAAAAGTCTTCGCAGGCGTAATTACATTTGGTTGACACAAGGATTACGGAGACAGGTTTAGCAATGTGAAAGAATAATTTAAAACGAAAAAGGTAATAATTTAATAGGCTAACCATACAGGGTAATACTTAGCGTCGTCGATCACCTCCAAATTAAATCACTGTTTTATGTTATGAAATAGTAATTCAAATACATAGTTGCCTAATTAGATTTCGCACCGTAGAGTTTAATAGATCTTAGCTCTAATTACGTTAATAGGTTTTTGAATTAAGAGAGGTTTCTTCGAGATATAACCTTTCGAAACTATAAGATAGTAAGATCTCTTTTTAATAAACTACGTAATAGCTATATAATTATAAGATTTAAAAGTATAATTATAAGAATAAATAGATTAGTTACTAGATAAATTAATAATTTTAAAAAAAAAGAGAAAAAAAGAATTCGCGAGTATTTAAGACTTTTATTAAATATATTAAATACTTATTTTAGCTATATAGCTTATAGTTTAATAAATAATATAAATAAGTTTATTATTAATTTACTCTAAGTACTTTTAGGCAGCTACTACGCGTATAGCCCCTGTCTACTAGGCGTATAGCCCCTACTCAGTAGGCGTACAGCCCCTATCTACTAGGCGTACAGCCCCCCTAATCGGGTTAGCGGCCGCGCGGAAGCTAACGGACACTAACCGAAAATAGTAAAAAACCCGCATAAGCTAACGGACACTAACCGAAAATGGTAAAGAACCCGCATCTAGTCTCTTCGAGATTCTTGCGGAGATGCTTGGTGGTAGCAGGGCAAGCCTCCCTATGTCTCTCATCGGACGGTTTCAATTCGTCGATTAGTGAGGTTTTTGAATAATTTCTCTATGGCGATAGCTAATTGGCTAACTACCCTCTCTGCTTGCTACTAAAAATACGCCCATCATACTCAAATGTCCACTACCTATCGGCCAGCTGATCTTCCTACATCTGAAACGTATTGAACATAGCCTCATTACCCTGCATGTAGGCCTGTGTAGTACCACCTCGCTGTCCTTCTCTTGTAGCCTGTCCAGCCCGCCCACCTCGCCGCCCTCCTCGTGTAATGCCTAGTCGTCGGGGTGGCTGCTACAGCGGTCGCAAACCCCCCCGCTGTGACGCTTGCAGTGTAGAGGTAGGTGTAGAGGTAGGTGTAGAGGTAGGTGTAGAGGTAGGTGTAGGTATGCGCTCTGATCCTTGCCTATTGAGCGAGGGATGTAGGCGGGCGGTGGGGTGGGAGTTGGTTCTACTACCATATCCTACTGTGAAGGCATTCGGCAGAGACTAGATGCGGGTTCTTTACCATTTTCGGTTAGATTTTGTTAGCTTCCGTGCGGCCGCTAACCCGATTAGGGGGGCTGTACGCCTAGTAGATAGGGGCTGTACGCCTACTGAGTAGGGGCTGTACGCGTAGTAGCTGCCTACTTTTATTCTTATAACTTATTTTTCTCTTAAAAAATTTAATCTCTAAATCTTACTCGTATAATCGAGAAGTCTATTATCTTAATAATTCGACGCGAAAGTATTTACTAATTAGACTATCTCGTTTCTTCGTAGTTTAATATTAAATTATATCTATACTATATTTTAAGAGAAGAAAATACTATTCTTAATTATTATCGTAATTATAATTATTATAACTAATTAGTATATATAAAAGAATAAGGTAGGGCTGAGCTTGAAAACCTTGAATTTGTATGTGCAGCCAATCATCAATTTAGGGTCACTACGCTTTTTGGTTAGACCGGCTAAGTCATCGCGGGTAAATAAATTAGCGTCCGCAACCATCAAAATCTCTCCCTCCCGCGCCTCCCTCATCAAAAAATAGGTGTACGTTATTCACAATAGGAATAACTTTTTTGTTTTCTATTAAAATTTTGAGATTTTTTTTTTAAAATTTTGAAACGCTATTTGTGCTTTCCGAATTTTTAAGAATTCTGAAAATTTGTCCTATAATTATTAAAGCGCAAGGAATTCAAATATCGCTCACTAAAGTTCGCTCATCAAAGATCGCTCACCTACTTACTCGATAGCCCTAATCAAAAAAATGATTATGAATTTAATTCATAGGCCTTTACTCGTATCTTTATATATAAATAAGATTCTTAACTATTTTACTATCTCGTTAATTAATAAAGATTCTAAATAACTTTTATATAAATTATTATTATTCTTAGATAGATAATAATATTATCTTCGCTCTTCGATAGATAAATATCTCTTAAACTTCTTTTATTAGTATTACTATACTTAATAATAATAATATAATATTTCTAGACTAGATAAATCGTAAATAAGAGAAAAATATATTAAAACGTCGTTTAGAGTATAAGACTATAATTAAATATATTATAAAAGTAAAGAATTTCGAGTAAAAGAATATTAGTAAAAGATACTTCTAATATGAAATTTAATCTTATAAGGCTAAGGCTTAATATAGTCTTAATAGACGAGACTTAATATAAACTTAATATATAAGTATATTAGTAAGTAGATTCTCTTAGCAGTAGCTAGATAATTAATTAATTTACCTCTATATTAGTTATTATAATATACTTTTACGAGTAAAGGCCTATAAATTAAATTCATAATCATTTTTTTTAATTAGAGCTATCGAGTACTCGAGTAAATTTGATAAGCGAACTTTTAATAGACGATATTTAAATTCGTTACCTTTAAATATCTATAAGACTAAATTTAGTAATTCTTTTTTTATCTAAAAGCTCACATTTCGTTCTATAATTTTAGAAAAAAAATCTTAAAATTTTAATAGAAAACAAAAAAGTTATTCTAAAATCAAATAATATGTACCTATTTTTTAATTAGGGCTATTCGGCTATCGAGCGAACTTTAATAAGCGATATTTGAATTCCTTACGCTTTAATAATTAATTATAAGACTAAATCTAAAAATTCTTAAAAATTCGAAAAGCGTAAATAGCGCTTCAAGATTTTTAAAAAAAAAATCTTAAAATTTTAATAGAAAATAAAAAAGTTATTCCTATTGTAAATAACGTATATCTAATTTTTTAATAATTGCGGATGCTAATTTATTTACTCGCGATAACTTAGTCGATCTAATTAAAGAGCGTAGTAACTCTAAATTTATAATTGGCTGTATATATAAATTTAAGATTTTTAAGCTTAATTCTATCTTATTCTTTTATACGAGTAAAGGCCTATAAATTAAATTTATAATCATTTTTTTAATTAGAGCTATCGAGTAAGTAGATAAGCGATCTTTAGTAAGCGAACTTTGATGAGCGATATTTGAATTCCTTGCGCTTTAATAATTATAAGACTAAATTTCAGAATTCTTAAAAATTCGGAAAGCACAAATAGCGTTTCAAAATTTAAAAAAAAATCTCAAAATTTTAATAGAAAATAAAAAAGTAATTCTATGTGTTAATAATATATATCTATTTTTTTAATAAGGGAGGTGTAGAAGGGCGAGATTTTAATAGTTACGGACGCTAATTTATTTATTTATAATAACTTAGTCGATCTAATTAAAGAGCGTAGCGAACTCGAATTAATAATTAACTATATATATAAATTCAAGGTTTTTAAGCTTAGCTCTATCTTATTCTTTTATATATACTAATATACTAATATTAATAATAATAAGATTAAGTTAAGTATAAATAAGTATTAATTTACTTACTTATTATACTTACTTTTTTTATTTAATAATTATATATTTTTAATAAATGTAATTAAGAAACTAATTTTATTAAATCTATTTCTTTAATTAATTAAAGCTTCTATCTCGCTATAGTAATAGACTTTCTATAAAGTTAAATTACTTTATTAATACTACTAGTCTTTAATTAGATATATTATTATTAAGTTATAAAAGTAAAATTTATAGATATTATACTTTCTTATTTCTAATAATTACGTTATATTAAAAAACTTTTTTTTAACTTTTTTTAAAATCTCGAATTTTTAAGCTATATCTTTCGAGAAAGTTTAAATTTTTAAACTATATCTTTTAAAAAGATCTTTAAAGAAATTTTAATTTTAATTCTCGAGCTTTTTAAGTAGCTATATTAATATTATCGATTATTAAAATTTAAGTTAACTTTTTAATTAGCTAAAGATCTTATTAATATTAATTATTAAATTTATAAATTTCTTCTAATTATAAATCGAACTTATTAATATAAGATTTTTAAGATTATTAATTATACTATCGACTATATTATTAATAATTATTCAAATTTAGAATTAAGATTAGTATTAAGACTATTAAAATAAATAAAAACGTCTTTAATAAAATCTTCTATCTTCTTATATAATTATTTAATAGATTTATTTATTTTTTATAAAGTTATTAAAGTCGACTTAGGGCGTACTACGCCTTAAGTCGACTCTACGAGAGTCGCTAATCAGGGCAAAGCCCTTAAATTAATTCTTTTTAGAGTCGCGAGAACGCGGCCTTAAGGGAGGGGATAGTTATTAGAGCGTAATCGCTCTAATAGTCTATAGCGAGGGTATAGTAGGCTCTTATAGAGTCAAATAGAGCGTATCGACTATAAAGCGCGATATCCTCGATTCTTTTGGCCTATAATCTAGTAATAGCCGAACTATCCTCACATCTTCTTATATAATTATTTAATAGATCTATTTATCTTTCGTAAAGCTATTAAAGTATTTAATAATTAAATTTATAATCTTCGAAGTAAGTTAAAGATTACGTAATATCTTAGAAGTAGAGATTCTTCTTCTATAGAAACGATTTTTTATAATTCTCTAATAATTATATTATTAATAACTTCGGATTTCTTAAAAAGTATTAATTTTTTTACTAGAGTAACTTTCGTAGAAGAAGAAATTTATAGTATTTTAATTAATTCGAAATTTTTAT